ATATATATATATATATATATATATATATATATATATATATATATATATATATATACATTATTATTTACTTCCATTCCACTCTTTTAAAATATGCCGTTTAACGTTTTATTTTATTGAAACTATTTCTTTGATTTATAAAATTTTCATTTGTTGTGAACAATCATCTAATGTTTAAATATATATATATATATATTATATATATATATATATATATATATATATATTTAAACATTGGATGATTGTATATTATATATATTATATACTTCAGTCAATTTCAAGTCGGTTGTAAGTATTAGTTATCGAGTCTTTAGATTTTCGTTAATGATATAGTCTTTGATATTTTCATTTTGTTAATATTCTTTACGATGAAATTCGCCGATTTGTTCATTCAGTTCAGCTTTATTTATGTAGTTAATTTTCACAATCTAGTGGTTATTTAATTTTTCCATTTGATATTATTTGTTTCTCCTATACTATTTATAATTGTTTATTTGCTGTTCTCTCTCTCGCTCTAGTGTGAAAATATTACGTGCGCATTATACGTTTGAACAATTGAATAAAAGGAAGTCGAGAGGCGTGAATTTTTTTCTGATCACGTATATTCAAATCCAATATCAGACATCACGTAGACATAGCAGAAGGTGTTTTTCTGTTAGTAACGCTTTTTCGGTGATTTTCATTGAATTTTTAATTCTTTGAGAGGCTTTCGAATGTAAAATATTAAACTTGTTGAAAATTCAAATAAATAAGCTATAATGAACTAATTCAATTATTTCCAATGGCTATAAACTTTCAGGCGCAATCGAAATTTATCTTACTATGTCACATCAACTTTATAATATTTTTAAAAAAATCAGTTTATTTAGATTTTCTTTCATTATTGCTAAATAATTTGTAATGCATTGATATCTAATTAGTGTACAAAAAGAGCTTCAGCTATTTTATTTTTTGAAAGGTATTCTCTCTCTCGCTCTTTCTCTCTCTCTCTCTCTCTATATATATATATATATAATATTAATATATATATTATATGATATAATATATTTGTTATATATATATAAATAATAAAATATTTAAACATAAATATAAACAGACAGACATAAACGTACACCACACAGACATGCATTATATGCAGGTTTTGTATTAGGTACATATGACGCAAAACAAAATCGATCGTAACCGGCGTTTGTAGCAACCTACCTATCTCGACGTAAACTCTTATGACTGATATAACCACAGGAAGTCTCAAAGTTTACGTTCTTCTCAAGTGAAATCGTAAAATTAAAGTTAAGCCTTTTCAAATGAGCGTTGCTTGCTTAAAAATTTAACGAACTACTTGCATCGGTGCTTGAAAAAAACGTCCGAGCCTTTTTCGTGATTTGGACGAGCTAAATCGTACACCAGCATTTATGAATTGATTTATTGTTGTTTATTTATTTAAATCATATATTTTATTGTTTAAAAAAATAAGATACTAAATTAATTTGGTTTTCTGATAAATTGATCGTCAGTGAGGCTTTTTAGTCGGAGTTTGTCCGCACATTAACCGTTAAATATCTATGTAGCTGCATGGCATAGTCAATCGTAAACGCAATTAAAACATCGTTTCGACAAAGATGAAGTAAATAATTCGGAAAATATTTTTTTTTTATCAAAAACTACTCTCAAAATATATTTCACAATAGTTGTGAAGTTTGGGATTGATTGTGTCCTTGGGTAAATTATTTAAGCAACATTGAACAATTTATCATTATTCATCTGACCAGTGTTGACAATTTTCACCAGTAGTTTACAAACTATTAAATATCATAGGTAAAACTAATTAACACCAAAATAATATATTCAATTGATAATCAATTCAAGTACATAAATAAATACACACATACATTTATTCTATCTGCAACACAGATGTCAGATCACGTCTTGCTGTGTGCACTGTGCATGCGAAAAATGTTGCGCCCCTCTAGCATTGCAAGTAACATTATTCAAGTGCCATATATTTCAAGTACGCGCCATTTTTATAATCAATGATGGGTACAATAGAACATATACACACAGAGAAAGAAAAGGAATAAAAAAAACTGAAAAGTTATTGTAAAGGGAAAAATAAGAGATTTGGAGAAAAAAAGAGAGACATTTGCATATTAGGCTGTTGTCAAGAGCAATAAGCAGTCATAGTACAGCTGTAATAAGTTAATTAAGGCTGCTTCTATTTTTGGTCTCGGAAGTAATTACTGAAATATTCCCAATGAAGTTTATTTTGATTTACTATATAAATAATTTATATAATGTTCAAATTTTTATTACTCTTCAGCTCTTAAAACTTTTCTGACAGTGCGCAATAAACAGTTTCAGACCGCTCATCTCATTAATATTAAAAAAAAGATCCTATCCAGTATTTATATTATCAATTATAAAATAATTACAATTTAAGTTTGATCGCCATGGAAGAGTACGGTGTGTTGCCTTCCAATCTTCTCAAATATTGCAACATTCCTCTTAAGAATCTCCAAATTTCGGGTCGAGTGTGGTTGTCACATCATTTGAATCCTGAGAGACCTTCATTTAGCTCGAGGAACCAATTGCTTCAGGACTGGAGAGGAATGGCTGAGCATTTCAATTTTGATCAACTTTACGTTGAGAATTTTCAGAGGTTACCCGATCCCATGGGAGAAGTTATTAAGAACCTGCCTATCATGAACTCGGAAGCTACCTTGGGTTCTTTATTGATGGGTTTGTGGAACATGGAAAGGTTCGACATTCTTGAAGACTCGGATCTCGTTAAAATATTAGGTTCATAAAGTTTTGATAGATGCTGTTAATGATATAAAATTTAAAAAAGTTAAAAGAATTTTTTTTTACACAGAAAAATGTCCAATTGCAGTCCAGAGCTCATTGTCCAAAATCCAACCATTGGAGCAAGTTGCTGAAAGTAAGTCATGATTTTTTGAAATTAAAGTAATTTAAAATTTATTCATATGAAGAATGTGTTTTTTTAATTATTTCTCACGTTATTCTATATGGGTATTATATTTTTTCTGATAGTATCTTGCAGTTTCGAACAATTTCATCTAACGCAATTTCGTCTAAAATCATTCTGTCTGAAGTTCATTCAGTACAACTCAATCTATTTTGTTCAACATTCATTACGTTTTATTTTGCGTTTTGCGTAATATCCATTGTTGTATATTGTTCTGTCTAGATAACTTTCATCTAATAGAGAAAAGTCAGCTAGTCAAAAAAGCAGTGTTAGTAGGGAAAGTCAAAAACTGTCGTTCGCCATTAACGTTTGATGCTCTATATATGAACGGACAAGAAGTTTATGTGTTATAATAATAGGTGCACAAAAATAAAAAAAATTTACAACTTTAAATGAAACGCAAGTTTTATCAAACCTGCATAATTAAACTGTGAACAATTTATTCAAAAGTTATTTTTTACATTTTTATATTTCAAACCCTAAAAAATTTGATTAAATATCTAATTATTGAACGTAAACCATGTTTCACCCGATACAGTTGATTCCCAAAGTGAAGCGCGAGAATTTTTGACAGTTGGAGAAAGTAAATTAAAAATTGTTTTTGGCCCATCCAATAAGTATTTATAAAAATTATTTTTTACTGTGATGAAATAATCACAGGCGAAACTGGTGAGCCGGAAGAATTTGACGCCTTTGTCTGTTACACGCGTCAGGACATCGGCTTTGTTCAAGAAATCATTAACGAACTGGAAAACAAAAAACATTTCAAGCTCTGCATTCCCGACAGGGATGTACTTCCTGGTCCAGCAAAATATGATGCCTACACGAAGTTAATTAAAGAAAGGTATGATTGATATCGATCCTATCGTTTCACAATTATATTTTTAATGTCCTGATTGAAAAGTAATTTCATAAAAAACATAAAAAAATTAAAAATCTAAAAGATGGCACTTAGAAGTGCACTATTCAATTTAAAAATTTGTATAATCTGTGCATTTTAATCAAGGCTGTTAATAAAATTTGCGGATTTGCACCGATGAAAAAAGAAATGCGTGAAAAAAGAGTTTTTACAATCACTTTCAAAAAGAAAAAACACGAGAATAATTTTGTAAAACTCAAAAATGTTAAATATTCTCATCTTTATAATATACAGACTCTCGGTACATAACATAATACAATTTTTACTTTCAACTTAATTGCATTTGCGAACAATAGTTAAAAGCAAATTTAACTTATTCACTTGAAAGATGTGGCCCCATGATAATTGTTTTGAGTCCTGACTACAACAGGAGTGAAGAATGTAAATTTCTCACTTTCTTCGCTCACTCACTTGGACCAGGTCAGCTTTACCAAAACAAATTAGAGATTTTTATTTTTAATATTTTTAGTTTTTAAAAAATTATTCCGTAATTTCATATCCAATTTTTTCGCGAACAGATGCCAAACACCAAAAATTGATACCTGTGGTTTACAAGCACTGCGACATTCCAAATGTCCTGAGCCACATATCCTTGGTTGATTATACGAGGAGTGATGTCATTGAATGGTTTTGGTCAAGGTTATCCAATTCCATCCAATCGTGGAGAGCAAGGTCATCAGGTGCATGCTCATACTTTTACCCATCTTTGCCATCCTATCATTCGCCGAAAAGTTTAACCAACTTTGATAATGCGCCTTCCACTCAACCTTCTGGGGCAACAAATTATTGTAACGCATTCGACTTTAATGCAAATAAAATTCAGGACATCTCGCCTCACAATCAAATTATCGAAGGAGTGGCTAAAGGCATCAGTCAAAGAAATGTTACAAAAACCAATACAGACCACTCAAACTGTTCAAGTTTCACCTCTTTAGAAAACGATACAGCATGCGCCTGTTCAGGCAACAATATACTGCAACACATGTTGGTTACTGACAATCAAGAAATGATGGATTTTCAATACAACTCGAGCGACGAATCACTCGCTCTAAGAAGAGTGGCTTCCGACGAGCCAGTAGTCCAAAATAGAAACAATGACATGGAGGGTTTTGTTTTTCCGAGATTCCCAAGTTTGGTTGAATCCGACTATGCTGATAGAATTAACACTGGAGGAACAATTAAGAAATTTATTCATAAATTTATGAAATCAAATCCGCACAAAAAAGAACACAAATAAGCAATTTTTTATTAAAAGACAAGCAGTAACTTTCAATATACCTATTTAACTTTTTGATTATTTTTTTTTTATGTATGTAATCAAGTTTTACTGATATACGAATTTGCTTTTATATGAAATTGGTTCCCCAAAGTTATAATAAGATAATATGATAATAATAACAGATAATATGATGACATGTTTGAAACTAGTGATTTCACCAACATTTAATTTAAAATACAAAATTTAAAATTTGTTTTTAACATGTACAGTACATGTGCCAGTACACGTTATGTTTGCAAAATCATTTAGTCGAATATTTTTGAATGTTGATGAACTGAAGTTAATTAATGTCTCTGTCAGATTTTGAACACCAAGTATAATTTTAACTACTGTTTAGTTTTTGGCCGATTTTTTGGCCATAAGGGGTAAAAATAGACGCTATTCTAGGACGACTTGATCAATCCACATTTATAAAAAATATAAGAAGTTTTATAACTAAAAATTAAATCTTGTTATGATCTAAAAACTTATCAAATTTTATCTACGTTGTTCTTTTTTGCTTTTTGACATTTGCGAATTTCTTTTCATAAAGCAGCAAACTTTTATGCAAGATTTTTTTTGTTTGATAATATATTAGTATTTCATTTTGATAAGGTTGATATTCAACATTTCTCCATTCAGGAAGATGAATTTATAAAGTGGAAGTTTCGAGTTTGTTTTATCCAGGGTGTCGGTTATCCGTAGTCGGTTGAAAACTATCCGACTTCGACTCTTGCCTCCTAAAAATTCTGACTTCGACCCCTCAAAAAATTCTGACTCCATGTGAAAATTTAAGATTCCGATTTTGACTCCCAATTCGATTCCGCCTGCGGGTCCCGACTCCCAAAAAAATTTTGCAACTTTTGTATTATAATTTTACCTTATTATCATTACTAAATAAAAAATACTTTAAAAAGCACTTGAAATCAGTCAATTGTCTTTTGGTTATGTTTTAAAACATGTTGAAAATAATGTGTGATTTTATTTACGTTATTATCATTTATTTTCAGTATTAAAGATGCTTGCATATCGCTGCACATTATTTTTCTTTAAAACACGATCTTTAAAACAATTTCAGATTGAAAAATGAAAATATTCATAAAATTATTAAATTTATAACATTTTTCGGCGTCGGAAAAAAAATATCCGACTTCGGCTTCACAAAAAATTCCGACTTTAAGTTTGTTTTACTCAAAAAATTCCGACTCCGAAACTGGTTTTATCGATTTGTCTTTTACAATGTTTCAACGCACAGCCTATGTTTATGTTTGCCGTTATATCAATATTTAAAAAGTTTGCACGTTGATTTGAAATGCGGATATTGCATGTAACGCTTTCTCAATTCGCTAAAGTTCGTTTTAACAAAGGTTGCTTTTGTTTTTCAGGAAGTTCCAGGTTTTTTCCGTGACGTTACTTCTCTGAAGTACAAACAGCCATAAAAGGCTGACGGAACAAAAAATGCCAGTCGCAATTATCTCACCACCTAATGCAAACGTATAAAAATTAGGCACTACTTCAGAAAAGTTTTTCATCGTTTGTTTGTACAAATGCACACAAGCTGATTTGTTTGATAGAAATGTTCTTCATGCCGCTCAAATAAATTTTATAACTAAAAACTGTAACAAATATTCACAAAATTATATTTAGATTTTTTGGAACGCTAAATAACGCTGATCGATTATTTTTCAAAGCGATTTTTAATGAGTCAATACAAATTCCAGAAATAAGTTGATAAGGCAGAATGCAATCGTGATGAATAATTACAGCAATCACAATTTGCTATCTCCAATCATTTTTCTAACTTCTTTACGTAATATTTTCCCGCTTGAAGACTTAGGAATGAAATGTACAAACTTTACTCCTCCATACAATCTTTTGAACGGAGAAACTTTATCTAAGAATTAATTTTTCATAGTGAATCCGTATTATAATATATTGCAACTTGACATCATTAGTCAAAAAGAGAAAACATTTGTACCAGCCAGCCAGTTGGTTATAACTTCTTCTGTGCATCCCTCATTCGATTCCTTCCTCCTAACAACGAAAGCTCTGGGAACCTCGCCGTAGATAGGGTGGGCCACACCTACCACGGCCACATCGTCCACACACGGATGCTCCAACAGAATGGATTCCAACTCAGCTGGTGCCACCTGGTGTCCAAAACATTCGTCGACAAGACAGACTGATAAAACTCACAATGACAAAATATTAACTTCTTTCCATCTTTATTGTTAGATTTATTAAAAAAACGACTATTACGTAAAGTAATATCAGCATGTGATATGTGTGAATTTTCTAAATAAATTTTTTTATTTTTTCAATAAAATAATCGACATCATTAACACTGACTTGATAGCCCTTACATTTGATGAACTCCTTCAGTCGATCGACCACAAAGAAATATTTGCTTTCGTCGTAATAGCCGATATCGCCTATTGTAACGAGATCATCAATTGACATTTACCGTGTGTTCTCTTACAAAGCAAGTTATCATTTTTCAATAAAATCAAAAGCGCTTAATTACCCGTTTTTAGCCAGCCATCTTCAGTAATTGCTATTTTTGTTGCTTCGAGATTATTGAGATATCCAAGCATGACGTTGTCACCTTTGAGCCATATTTCGCCCCTCTTGTTACTTCCCACCGACAATCCCGTTCCTGGCTCAACAACCTGCGTGGTTATTAAAATGTTAGCGCTGTAAAAATGCATGTCAACAAATTTGGTAAAAATATCAAATATTTATTTTGAAAAAAAAAGTTTTTTCAAATTTGGGTAAGAAAAAGAAATTTGTTAAAAAAATTTGTTTGTATCACATTAATTTGAAGGAGACATTACCGTGATGAGCATGTTCGTGAAGACCCTTCCCACAGAGCCCGAGGGTACTGGTTGGTTTGGCGCTTCACGGGGAGGTAGGGGAGACTCACAATTTGAGTTTGTTGATCTTTTAAAAAGGTTTTCATCAGACAGCATGCCAGGAATTTGAGTCAACGTCCCGGAACTTTCCGTCATTCCGTAACCTTGGCAATCGGATTTTGGTTGATATAATGCAAGCCAATAAAAAAAGGTAAAAATATTTACAAGAGTTTGCTGTTAAATTTGAAATTTTAAAATTATTCATTTCAACGAGAAAAGTTTAGAAAATTTTTTCAAATTTTTGATTAATAGCAAATGTTGATATTAAAAGTTATTTTGGAATTAATAAATTTTATCAAATTATCATTCATGTTTACCAGTTAAATAACTCAGTAAATGAGCAACAAATATGTGGAAATGGAAAATGTATTGAAATAAAAACTCCATTACAAAGTATGTTGAAAAAAGACGAGAGACCTTGGATGATATTAATTCTGTTGTTGAAAGCATCCTTCAATCGTCTTTCCAGTTGCTTTCCCATTGGTGCAGCCGAACTATAAACAGTTTGCACACTTGAAACGTTGCACCTTCTCAGCAGTTGACTGTTGCAAATCATGATGGCCACCGGTGGCACTAACTGTATGCACGTCATCTAGTCAGCAACAAGTTAGTTTTCTGAATAAAATCTTTACGTAGAAACCAACATTCATCTTCTTTTCGTTCTTTAATTAATCAAAATTTAGAAACTAATTAATGTTGGAAAATGTAGCCTGTACCATAGAACAGGTAAAAATAAACATTTTAGAAGGCATTGCTCCGATCAACTTCGAACTTTTAACGTGGCACATAGTTGCACGTGGTTGTTAGTCACACATTAGCATTGAAGTATTTTAATAATATTAATACGGCAATTATAAAGCGCCAGTTACACGATTGCTTCAAAGGCGCCCGGAGCATGCATCCGCAAATAAATGTTTTTTCAGCATTTTCTTAACAGCCGACAGTGATGTGCAGCTTCCAAGTCCGCCGGCAGACCGTCCCACACAGGCCGAGCTGCATGGCGGAACCGCTACCCTCCAAATGTGAATTAGCTATTTGAATGAACCAGTTTTTAAACTTGTAATTAAAAAAACTTTTAGCCGTCAAGCAAATTGACAAATCATTCAAATTTATAAGAGTTACATTTTAAGCTTTTTATATTCTTTATAATACAACTCTGTCAAACGCAGAGCAGCTTATTTTATACTTGTGTAATTAAACTTTCTTGCCACAAAGGCTGTTTTTTCAACTCCATACGACGCACATACACAATACCTGCGCACACGCAAGCACCGCATCATACAATGTGACGGTCTTTGAGTTTAGGACAGACAGTATTCGAACCATGCCATGGCGTAATAGCAACGCAAGACGTGGCACTTCTACGACTGAGCTAACTCGGTGACTAACTTTAAATTTTTACAAATAAATTTTGGTTCATGTAAATTATTTACCTTGTACTGTTCAATTGTTTTTAAATACAATTCTAAATTGAACTTGCTCATCAAGAGGTTTGTGATACAGTGGGATAAACAGAACATCACACGAAACATTCCTGAAGAATGTGTTAATCAATTGTTAATAATTAATTATGAACGAATGAATTAATGGATTAATTAACTGATAATGTCAATTATCATTGTCTTATAACGTGAGGTGGACATATTAACAATTAATTGTTATTTGAATAACTTGTACTTTATCGCGTTTTGAATTTAAATACTAAAAATTTCAGTTAATAAAAAATTTTGACATTCAATCTTGCGTGAATTTACTAAATGTTTTGTCTTGTTTATACATAGAATGTTTATTGATCGTAACAAACCAACATGTCATTTCGTCAGTTCTTTAAAGTCAAGTCAAAACATCTGACAAATCAGTTGATTTACCATAACTATGTGACATTGGTTGATAAGTGATTGAGTTTAAGGCATCTTCAATACCCTGACACATGTTCGGATGGCTATTAATAATTATAAGGAAAATTAGTTTTTATATCATGAATTTAATGTATTACGATATGCATTGAATCAAATTAAATGTTAAACTAGAAATTCCATATATTGATTTTATATCCTGAAAACACTCCACCTCTCGTTTAAAATTTTGTTCAAAATTTTGTTCGGTTTTGAACCCGTTTATTTAAGATGATGGCCTAGTTTGATTTCAAAGCGACTTTAAAATAAAGTACCATAAAAATATAAAATTGAACGTCTGCTTGTTATAATAAATTGGTCAGTCATCACATCAGACCACCTGTAAACGCATTGAGATGCCACCAGGTTCCTATGTGACTGCATCACTCCTTTCGGAAATCCAGTCGTACCACTTGAAAACAAAATTGACGCTACTCTTCTGCCAGGCTCAAACGGTCCGAGATTCTTAATGTCTTCAGATTCTGAGGTATTGTTTCTAAAGTTTTTTATATGAATTTTATATTTATGTTTATATGACGAAACATCTTTAAAATACGAATTATTAGAAATGGAGCTAGTTTCCGTGGCCTCTTGTGCGTAATTAATGTACTGAATTCTAATAGTTCCATTGGAAAATTTGATAAACTCCCTGTAAGTTTTGTAATTCGATGGACCAACGAGGTGGTGATTTTTTGTGTCGTCCAGTTGATCCTCTCTGCAATCGTCATCCCCGATGGTTACATTTTTTCTCTGAAGATTCTGGTGAATCTTCAGAGAGCACACAAAATGGCTGCCCGCTGTTACATCTTGCACGGTGATGAGATGTCCTATCTAAAATTTATTACACTTTGTTGTTATGTCGTCAGCTTTTTAAAGTCGAGTCAACAAAGTAACTTAAATTCTGCTTAAGGCTCAATTGAAATAATTCACGCCATTCATTCGTGATTCATTACTGTTGCGGACATTTCATTTCAATTTTAAATTGCACATAACTATTTTAACCTTTTTAAAAATTAATTGAAACTTAGTTTTGCTCAAAGATTATTACTGTTGCTTGCATTATTCTCGTAATTAATTGAATTGTATAAAGTAACAACAACTTTGAATGCTTGCATTGACAAATTATAACATCAGCAAAACCATCTGGTAACCTTTTCTCTCAAACTGTTGTTCTCTTCTAGGATTTTTAAAATTTTGGTTTCATCTTTCTGGGAGGTGACGATGATGTCTGAAGTAGCGACCTCGAAATATTTTTTAAGTTCGCCTGCGGGTTGGATAATGTCATTTGCTTATTTGCAGATGAAAAATTTATAACAAAAGTGAAAATTTCAACTGTTCGGAAAAGATTGCATCACACTGCTTCATGAAACATCCCAACAAACTAACCTTGCTGATCCTATTATTTTTATAGGCAGGCCAAAGACATATTTATTACAGCCATCATTGACGGTTTGCATACTTAACGGCAAGCATACGTAGACAATGCGTACATAAACATATTCAACACGCAAAGATTTTAATACCGACTTCAAACATGACAATAAACAAACACAGTTCAGAAAGTAATGACAATTTAATAGAAAGAACATAAAATATAGAGTATGACGATAAACAGAGGAAGCAGCAGACCTGATGAACTCAAATAATTAAGGAGGACAACAGACGCCTGCATGTTCCACGTCGCCAACATGAACGCCACATGCTCGATGCAGTTGCTCAACACCACCTTCACTTTCACCATCTCACAACTCGGTGCAATCAAACATTTCATCATATGTCCCAAAACTTCAACCAATTCATTCAACTGGCTGAAGGTCAGTTGTCTTCCAGTTTCCAGTTCCATCTAAGAGTCGCGAAGAATTAGTTTAATTGTTAATCATTTGATATATAAACTTTTTATTAAATGTCCGCAATTACAACTAGATTATAAATATGCGTTAATTTTTTGGTTAACCAGTCTAACCCATAAAAAAATAGTTTGACTAAATTACAACGTGACCTCACCAACAGAAACTTATAAGCAAAGATCGAATGTCTCAAACAGTCAAAATATAATATCAGTTTGTTGAAAGTTATCTTTGCACAAGTTTTATAAAATTATGTAACGGTGACATGAGGTTTTGTTTCAAATAGTAACAACATTTGTCATGAGTAACATTGCGGTTTGATCGTCTGCGGAGAAAAGTTGCTGAAATGATTGCAGACTGGGTTTATTTAAAAAAATACTCTATGTTAAATATACTTTTCAAATAAAAAATGCTATTATAGTGTGATACAAGTATTGAAAAAATGTGAACCAGCCGACCGACCGACCAGCCAGCCAGCCTGCCAGCCAGCCAGCCACCCAGTCAACCAACCAACCAACCAGCCAGCCAGTCAACCAGCCAGTCAACCGGCCAGTCAACCGGCCAGTCAACTAACCAACCAACCAACCAAACAACCAACCAGCCAGCCAACCAGCCAACCGACCAACCAATGCAGTTTTTGAAAAATTTTCCTTGAAACCTCTTGTGCAGTACTCTAAAATATCAACGTTGGGGATATTTACGTCTTCGTAATCGCTTCTGATTACGTGACCATCTTGAATAAATGACGTCATAATTATGAATCCCTAAGTAAACTTGATTTCTACTAGTTAAGAAAAAATTATTGATCCCGTAAACTTTTAGATGATACTTCTGTTTAAAGGATGTTGTGTAACTTTGATAGGCACATTTGCAAACTCTCAATTATATACAGGCTACATTGTAACAATCTCATGTTTATATATATATATTCTTGCAAAGCAATATATATATATATTTAATTGTTAAGATATATCACTGCATTTTTAAAAAGTGATATTTTTTAACAATTGTATCTGCGACAGTCTCACTCAAATTATATATATATATATATATATATATATATATATTTCAGCATACACACATATACACACACATCTATATGTATATATACACACACTCACATACATAATTATATTTCCTAAGCTGCTCCAAAGTGTTTGACACTAAACATCATTTGTGAGAGCGAACAAACTTTATTTTTATTTTTATAAGACGTCCAACGGTCTTCAATATGTACGTATGTTTTACGGACGCGTATGCTTTGGACTGAATAAAACTGATCACACCAGCCACCTATTAACAACATATAAAATTCCCACAATATAAGAAATGGATAAATATTCACATGAGTTTTCATATATAAAGTTATTAGTTTTGAGGAATTTAAATTCATCAACTCACCTGAGATTGCATCTTCATTCTTAATTGAATAAAAACATAATTTTTAACGCTAAAACTGCGTTCAAACTCCATCTTTTCTCATTTCTAATTTAATGGTTTTTGTTATTTATTTTGCTCGGTGCCACCTATTTATTTCATATAAGCGTAGCGCATAACTAGTTATGGAAATCAGTACAAGTTCGCCTTTTAGGTCTGCCTAATTTATGAAAAAAAAAATCTCGAAAAAAAAAACAACATATATTTGAGCTGTTTTATATTTAATTCAATCCATCACCACCACTTCAGACTTCTACTACTCTGATAAATAAACAAAGGATACACTAGCATGCATTTACGTTCGTTAATTATTAAATACATTTTTATATCCTAATTAGTTTTCAATATGCTCAACCAAACCAAATAAGTTGAGAACAGTCCATGAAGTCCATGAAGGCTTTGAAGAAATGAACTAAAACTTTAAAGTAAACCATAATTGTTTTTAAAACCATTGTTCATCTTACAAAAATAAATATGAAAATGTTAAATAGAAAATGAGTTAGTTAATCACACATGTCAGCTTATTTTCTCAAGTCCAGGACGAACACCTGCAAAAAAATAAATCAAGCAAATATAAGCAATTTATAGAAAAATTGATTGAATTTAAATAAAATTTCAAATATAAGCCAAGGTTGAATTAATTGAAAAGCAACTAAAATATTTTTATTCGGTTCATGAAAAGTCTCGACACAACTTTCGACTCTTAAATTAAAAAAATCTTTAGTGATGATATATGCAATACGGTGATTTAGTGTGAAGGATTTGTGAAATTAAAACATTATTTCAGCATTTATTTAAAATGTTAAAGCAATATGTTAGTGATACAGAAAATGATGGAAAGAACATACGAATGATGATGAATGAATGATGCAATTTGTAAAAGTAAGACTCACCGATCCATCAGATGCACTGGCTCCCACCTTATCTCCTCTGTAATTCCAGCACACTTCAAAGATTCCTCCAGTTCCTCTGTATGTGTGCACTAAAGCGCCAGTCTGAAGAAATGTGCGCACTCATTGAAGCAAATACAAAATAGAGGTGACTCAAGTTAATATGCTATCGAATTGAAGGATCAATAAATCAATCCTAAACATAAGATAGGCTGGAAAATATTCAAATTATATCAAACTCTTCAATACTGAGCACTTTTATTTGCGTAGGATTCAGAAAAACACATACAAAGTGTTAGTGGCAACAATTTTAAGAAGTTATTTGAAAAGCGTTTAAGATACACTCAATCAGATAAGCTATGTATGAGATGCAGCGTTTTATAAATTGTTTGAAGTTGTGATATGATATGGCTCATGTACTGTATGAAGAGCACTAAAATGATATGTACACCGACCTGAACGCTCCAAATGTGTACACACTTATCAAACGATCCGCTGGCTATATGCTTCCCATCAGGACTGAAGGCCACACTGTAGACAGGTTCCAAGTGCCTGGTCAACTTGTGCACACACACACCACGTTCAACATCCCACAATCGAACGGTTGAGTCAAAAGAAGCACTAAACAGCGTTATGTACATCAATTACTATATATATATATATATATATATATATATATATATATTATCGTTCAATACTCTCTTAATAATAAAATTCGTTTCAAAATTAAATTTACAAAGCCACTGTAAACATTTTTAATACAAAGCCTAACTATTGATTTCACAATAGTGCTCAGAAAAGCTTAAAACTGTCAGCATATAGAAGCAATAGTACAGCCATGGTGGATTGGATAAACTTTTTTTGGAACGACGGACGAGCATAAAAACCAAATTTAAAATTTAACGAATATAATGACGGTTTAGAACTTTCGCAATTTTAGGAAAAATCTGAGATGGACATGAGATTTGAATCAAAGGTTTACAGTACAATAAAGATAAACTATTTCAAGGCGTTGACCTGAATGAAATCATGTTAATGTAATGAACGGATTAAAGTTGTTAACAAACACCAACCTGGCCAGTATGAGACTTGCATTGGGATTGTTTGTGCCAGGACCAGTTGGACTCCACTTGATTGTGTATATCTCTTTGTTGTGTGCTTGCAAATCATGTATGCACGTATCTTGTTTCAAACTCCATATCTAAATACACAAGTGGATGCATGAATGTAATAGGTTCAAGTTTAAAATGTCGATTCACCCATGCAATGAAGATGCTTGTCATATTGTTGGCACAGTTGATAAATAACTTATGCAAAGTTTTAAAGGTACAAACCTTCAGCGTCATGTCATCAGAACAGGAGGCCAGGAGAACTCCTTGAGGATCCCACTTTATTGCGTTCACTTCATTCTTGTGTTTGTATTTTATGAAACAATAAGTCAGTTAACGTGCAAAACATGTTATACACCCTCATGGAACACAGTGAACTAGTCAGATTCAGCATCAGCAGTAAGACAAAAATAATAATATTCAAGAATAAAATATTCAAGAATAAGATCATAACGATAGGAAATCATAGATATAACAGGAACGAACTGAAAGCCTACTGACAGGTGCCTTTGAATTTAAAAATAATCATAAGCCATTTTTTTGATTGAAGCAATTTTGTTTAACGTTTAAGTATTGATAACGCGGAGATATAACAGTTTATATCAAATTTCGCCGGATTATCCTAACAGACACTCTACAGAGTTTATTTAATATTGCAGTCACAAGAAAAAAGTAGTAGAAAATAAAACGAAAAATATATAATATAAAATATCTTATTGGATCAACATCGCCTCAGAAGAACCACTATGATGAAGTTTTGAGATAAACCTAGCTAACCATTTTGGAGCAATTTATCGAAAAATGGCTATTTAAAAAACAATTAATCAATAAATAAACTTTATTCCATCATTTAATCGTCCCATAATTCGTACAGTGTGGCCTTGGAAAGTCTTGATCGGCTTATCAGTCCCCAGTTTGCAAACGTGGATACATTGGTCTGTTGAGCATGAAGCAAACGTCATGTTATCCTTCCAATCAACGTCCAGGGCCGGAGCTGTAGGTGCGTGATAAATGTTATGATGACGTGAAATTAATTACCGTCTAAAACCTTGCAACTTTCTATAATTTGGTGATACAAGTAAATTGCGAAGTCATGTTGGTAACGAAAACCAGTCGCTCTGGGTTCTTCTGAAATATCAGAGAGTTGAAGCGTGGATCTCTCCAACAGCTGAACATGACCCTTGCATGGCATGGTCAAGTGATTTACAATGAATGCTATCTCGCTAAGCAATATTATTAAGGTATCAATATATCTCACAGAATTAATATATCTAAAAATACTTTATTCCATAGAATTATGGAAATATCCAATAACTGAAATATTAAATTACAAAAATTAATGCTTTAAAAATTCTACACGGAGCAGCATTTTAAACACCTTTCCAAGCAGATTATACAACTAAGACTAAAATGTCAACTCGAAAATGATTTCGACTTGAGAGAATCAATCAGCAATATGATGCACCAGGCACTTGTAAAGCTTATTTATATAAAATAACAGACAGTACACGAAAAAAAAATATTGGAAAAAATACTGGAAAAAATATTGACCATTGTGAAAGCCAAACTGTTGGGTGCATCTGCCTGAGCTGGCATCCCATATAATAGTGGTCTGTGAGGTGGTCAATCCCAATGTAAATTTATTATCATTATTTATATATTAAATATATATATATATATATATTTTTTATAATAAATATTATTTATATAATAAATACATTTATATTATTTATTTATTTATTATTATTTATATCAATAGTTATTACATCAATTATCATCATTATATCTTTTAAATTTTCAGTTTTTATGTTAATTAAAAATGTTTATTTTATATGTTGCAGTAAAATTTAATTAAAGTGAAAATTAATAAAAATCAGAATCAGAGCTATAACGTGTTTTATAACAAGATGAAATATTCGAAAATTTGTGGTTCAAATTATTAAAATTCTACAGCTTTTTTTCCTTTACAGCCACTTTCCACCATGAATTGGTTTTTTGAAATAGAAAAATAAATAATGAAAATTCCTAAAAATGCAAAATTCCATTATGTAATTGTTAAAATAAATTTCTTTTCAACAAAATCTGGCAATCGAATTATTATTTACTGACCTTGTCAACGCCAGCACTAAGTATGTAGTTGCCTTTTTTGTTCCATTTGAGAGCAAATATGGGACCTTTATGCTGGCCCAATGTACTGACAAGATGACCTAACACGTGTGTGTTTGTGTGTATGTGTGTGTTTGTGTGCGTGTGTGGCGTAGGATTGCTCTGTTTTATTATTTTATTAAATATGTCAGATAAATAAATGAAATGGAGTAAACTGTTATAACTAATGCTGAAACTGCGGAATTTCGATTGAAAATTGTTTTAAAATGATATGCTGGATGCAGTCTTAATCATTTCAGAAAAAATGATATATTGTATAGTATGAAACATGATGACAAAATGAAAACGAAAGAGTTGAAAGAGAAAATCGTGTGACCAACCGTCAGTTGCCCAGATGCGCGCATATCCATCATATGACCCTGTGGCAAGCAGTGTGCCGTCACACTGAAATAAGTAAGATAGGCCGTAAAAGAAATTTTTGTTCTATATACATATTTTATACAATTAAGCAATAAGACATAACAATTAAAAAAGATTTAATAATATTTCAACATTAATTACACGAAAATTATTCATAAGAAAATAAACAAGTGAGTCATCCACAACCAACATTCCAATCGAGGGATGTAACATCCTTGTTGCTGGGGACCTCCGTGCCCCCCTTTTGAATGCAGTGCCTCAGTACCAGTTGGTTGGCCCCAGCGGCTGAGCCCCCCGATATGACCGTGCCACTTGTCGAACTGACTGCAGTTACGCTGTTTCCAGCCTCTCCTGGCAGTGACGATGATGAAGCGGATGCTGCAGATGTGGAAACTGGCGTTGACGATGAAGATTCGTTCAGATTCCAAATTCGAGCTGTTGAATCGCCAGACCTTTTTTAACAACCAACAAATAATTTTATTCATACCTCACCAGTCAAAAAATTTCATCTTCCTACAAAAATTTAGAAAAAGCAGCAGTGAAGGAAAAGTTATAAAAATATCATGAGATTGACTGCTTTCAACTATGAAATCTACCACTTTCATTAAATCAAAAAAAAGACAACTAAAAATACGTTAAATATTTTAGAGATAAAGAAGGGAAAAATAAAAAAATTTGTATGAACAACAAAATGGTTGAAACCCAGAAGCCAGAAGGTCATTGGTGGGATTCCAGGCGCATATGAAGACTTCAGATTCGTGCCCCTTCAAGATGACTGACTTGCTGGCTGGTATCTCAATACCAGTGTCCAACTCCATCATCTCCTTGTCTACGTTTGTTAATGAGGAAATAAATCAAATAAACAAACATTTAATTAAATAAATAAATGAATAAATAAACGAAATCATTGAGTTGCCTAAACTTAAGGTGATGAAAACAAATCTTTGTATGCTTCATTATGTCCAATTACTATATGTCATCCTAAAAAATTCTAATAAGGAACCTGACTAAATGCAAAATAAATACCCTAAAAATTTTACAAATTCGTCAACAAATAACGAAAATAACATAAATAAGAATAAATATATATGCATATATAAATACATATATATATATATGAAAATAACATAAATAATAATATATATGCAAAAAACTTATTGTTGCAGAAAAACAATTTCCTGGTAAGATGGTCATGTTGTATCCTAAAAATATGAAGTAAGTCGGAACATGAACTATTTTTGTCTTTACCTTATTACAAGTACTTTTGGTCATATGGAAATATTTTGTAAAAAAATTGCTGCCTGACGAAACTTAATTATAGGTCTGAGTCTCAGGTTTCCATCTCGATGAACATTTAGATATATTTAAAAATAAATTTAAAATTTCGATCAGGTTCATTTAATTTAATTTAATAATTTAATCTAACCAACAAAAACTGGGATGTATAAATTATGATAGAACAAATAATGCCGAATTTGCAACTAAATCTCATGTCAGTAAAAACGAAGTTGGACCCTGATACAATCATAATACTGCAATGCCAATCACAAAATGATGGCTAAATAAATGATCAAAATCCTCAAAATGATGGCTAGATCCTCACTTACCATCATCAACTCCAGCTTTCTCTGGTTTACATTGATTCATGCCTTTAGTTGTTGTCCCCTGCTTCTTGTGCTCAATGAAATCAGGGAGAACTGCGTCGATTAATGAGATGGCTTCAACCGTCCTTTCCGTGCCATCCTGTGGGAATGTGGGAGTGGGATACAAAAATTAAGGGTACCTGCGCCACATTATCTACATCACTGTTCTGTAAACTAATTAGAGTGAAAGGAATATCCACAGATTCCACATGCAAAAATATAACAAGGAATCAAAAACTGTTAAAAGGCAGTGATAACATTAATATTTTTTATGTTAATTAACTAATTGATTAATTAATTATTATTATCAATATAATTTTGCTAATTCAAATTGTTAAATAAATAGAACATTTCATGCAAATTGAAACAAAAAAAACACAATATCAAAGTTTTATCCAATGTTCAACACAGGGTGACCATTTAACTTAAACAAATAGACAAATAAATGAATGGAAAAATTAGTGAGTGAATGAATGAATATATGAGTGATAAAACAAATGAATGAATGAATGATGATGAACAAACTTCTGCAATGCTGATTTCAGCTTCAGTATATTGGAGTCCTTTCTGGATGATGTTGAGCAGTGCGGCTGGAGGAACGATGGAGCCATTTATGTTGGAATGGCTGATGTGACTCTCTATTCCAAATGTGTATGCCGCGTGTGTGAAACCTTTGTTATAATTATTGAATGATGATGTCTATAAATTAGAAATTATCAACTAATTAATTAAAGACTGAAAAACTGCTCGTCACAAAATAAAAAGATACATCATTAGAAATTTTTTGCTTTTTTTTTATTTAATCTGAGAGCAATATAATATTTTTTGGATTTGGATTAGTATTTTTTATTTCTTAAACCTTCACGGACCCAATTTTCATAGCTATAATGTTTTCTTTTGCACATTCTAAAATTACAACTCATTTAATTTCGAAAAAAAATCTAGTTAAAGAAAATTAATCAATTGAATCAAATGACTTTTTTTTTAGTATTGTATGAATGAAGTCTAAATTCATTTATTTCACGAATTAAAACCAACACCAACATTTATGAATTTAAGTTATAATTTTACATAAAATGTAAAACTAAGTTGGCAGATTCACTTTTTATTTAATTATGGTATGGGGCTACCTTTTTTTTTTTTTATTGTAAATTACTTAAAATCATAAAGCAACCTATAACAAATAAAAAAAAATAATATTTATTAAAATATATTTATAATTATAAATATTATTTAAAATTATAAATATAATATAATATAAATTAAATATATTTTACAAACTGAATAATATGGTAAAACAACAAAAAGTTAGACTTCACTAGTGAAAACTAATAAACCTAACATTTAACTTTTAGAAAAAATAAAAAGTGTAGTAAACTAAATTTTTTTAATAAAAAATAACTAAGTTTATAATGATATTCAATATTAATTTATTAATTATGGCTAGTGTCAGGTCAGGGTTTTAATTGAAAATTATGTTAAAATAATGTGGAACATCATGATAATAATGTCACAAAGTACAGTGGCTGACTTGAGATGTCTATTTTATTTTATTTAAGATAAGCAGTATTTGACTGACATTCCAAAAAAATACTATTTCTCTTAATTTAATATACTCAATTAATTAAACATACTTGTCTTAATTTTTAATATTTAATTTAATTAATCAAAATTATTTGTTGTAGCAATTGTAATATAATTTAAATATTATTCATAATATGTATTTGATCAAAAATTGTATCATTATTATGATTATATAATATTGTATCATTATAAATTATAATGATACAATTTTATTATGATTATATATATAGTTTATAATTATAATATAATGTGAAACATCTTGACAATATCACAAAATAGAATGGCCGACGTGATATCACATACAAAATGATATCTTATCTTAACCACAAGTCAGCCAATCAGTTATATTCTGAACACAGAATTTCTGACTCTCATCAAAGAATTGACAGCAAAAAACTAACCGGACTCAATGAGATATCGATAGACTAAATAGTTAACCTCGTCACTGCTAAAACTCATTTTCAATAAAAGTTTATACAATATAAAATGTTTATGAAAAGGATAAAAAAGTTTACGGCATAATTTGAACCATTATAAAATAAAGAAAAGAAACAAATACTAAACGCGCGTACTTTTGGTCTCGAAGAGAAAGCTAACATTGTTATGGAAAGCGGTATTACAAACAAAAATTGAACTATACTACTCTCTTTCATTCATTCATCCAATGATCTTCTGTAAACTCTTAAGGGACTGTTGAGGCCGATGATATTTTTCTATCTCTCCAAAATCCTTTTCTTTCCCTCGCCATCTTTATTGAGCTCAATGTTCCAACCCCCGTCCATTCCGTGATATAATCCATCCACTTCCTCACAGGTCTTCCAACTTTTTTCTTCCAGTCCCTCTTTCTCATCAGAACTTTTTTGATCAGTCTGTCGTCTGTCATTCTGCAGATGTGCCCAAAGATACCAAGCTTTCTTTCCTTGACACATTCATACACAGTTTTTTGTCTTCCAAGTTGTTTTCTTATGGCATCGTTTCTTATCTTTTGTCTCCAACTGATTTCCAGCAACTTTCTATAACAATGCATCTCGATATATAACATATACCATACTACTTTCTTGCTGGTAACTATATTAACCAGATTACCAAACTTGGACTTTAACGGTTTTTATTAATATGTTATTTTGAATATTACATATCATTTATTTAAAAAAAACAGTATATGATGCACTCTGATTTTTTAAAATTCAAACCTCATTCCATTTCAATACAATTCTATTTATATGATACAAACTAAATAAATTCGTCCATAAAAACCAGGGACGAAATAGTTGTTTTGTGTTTTTACGAACTGATTTGACATTTTTAGTAATTTATTTTTTAATTGTTTAAATTAAATTAAAGTGATCACAATCAAGCAAATTTTCAACGTAAATTCTTTATTATTATTTTGTTAAAATATTTTTGTAATTATTTAAATTAATTTATGCCCTGGATCAATTTGCAATTTATTAATTTTTAATTTATTTGATTTTCATTTTTAATTTATTATTATTTTTTTATAATGATTTTTTTTATTTATATTTTACATAAATTAAAATTAAATTTAAAAACTAAATAAAGAATTTATTTAAATTTTAGTTCCAAAATTTTTCATAATTATTTAATAAATTTAATTAATTGTGGATGATGTTCTAGTTCCATTAAAATATTAATTATTAATAAGACAAGTTTAATGTTTAATCTTTAAAATAAAAAAATGAAATTTAAGTAATTTTTCTGAATAACCATTTTGCTTTTTTCTATGCAGAAGAGGCATTAACTTAACAATAAACATTAAGAAGATTAATGTTAACCAACATGATGAATCAGGACAGAGTAGAAAAATGTGGGAATCAAATAATTCACATAAGAGGGGACAGCGACACAAAATTGATGGAGATGTTTAATGTTCTAGAAAACAAAAAGGAAATGCCACCGGGATACATTTCAATGAAGGATCCAAAAAGAAGGCTGCCATCATCCTTTTTTGATCCCAATCCTGTAAGAACAAAAGCTGTTGCAGATGATAAGAGACAGTCTCAGCCTCAAATACAGACCACATTGAAAAACCCTTGCAACCTGAGCAACCAATCAATATCACATACCAGAGCCAACTCTGCCCCTGAGACTCGTTTCCTGAACGCAATGAACTGTGGAGGAGAGAGTGGTGCTATGATGAGCATCAAGCAGGAATCTGCCGCTACTACTGACATCAACAACCCTAACATTTTGTTAGTTTAGCCTTTTTTATGTTTTCAGTTGTTTCAGTGTTGCTAAAGTATAACTAAATTCATATTCAAAAAACCAAATTGAATAAGGTACTCGTAAAATTTTGTTCCCATTAAATTAATGAAATTGTGTTTAATTAATGTTTGATATAAATGATCATAATGGTTAGTGATAGCTACAACTGAAATAAATTTATGAATGGAAAACTGACTCAGTAACATCCATTCCTTAACATTATATCTGGTTGAGATTCTTTAGTGACCAAATACTTCTGCTCATAATCATACAAAATTCATTTATACAAAATAATTCATAGTGACAACTGACCATATAAATGATCTTATTACATTTATATCTGATCAAAGTCATCAAGACCGTATACTCCATCATTATTGATTATGACATCCTGTCATTTCAGAATGTATTTACCATGGTGTTGACTGGATTCCTAGCTTGTTTGAACTGTTTTTTTTTTATTATAGGATAAGCATTATTTATTTCTGAAATTTACAGTTTTTCATTTTCTTGAACAGAGATTTTTGTTTAACAGAGTCCACAACTACATATTTTATGGAACCTAGTTCTAAAATTGTATATTATTATCTTATATTATTGACATTAGAGACCATCAACGGTTGGTTTAGTTGAGTAAATGTTGAAAGGCTGATATGGTGAATTTTGAAGTGTTGATGTCATCTACGTTGCGTTAAGTGTTAATGTCACAAATGTTGATGTGTTGATTCAATGAATTGGAATACATTGATGTAATGTTAGTTAATTTTGCCAAAACTAATGTCTTTAGCTATGATTGATCAAGTTTATTTACTTTTTTTTTATCTAGCTATCATGAGTAAAAGTATGTTTGTAATTTGTAATTTAAAACTTTACATTTATTATGGCTTGGGAATATTTTTTAAATTTCTTTCATCAGTTTTGTCATTTTTTTTTTCAACTTTTTTAAATTATAATTTGTAGTATTGGATTTTCTTTCTTTTGCTAGAGGTTTTGGAATTTTATGTTATCAGTTCATTAATTTTTGGTTCCATTTTGTCATAAAATTAGTTTCATTTATTTGTTTCATTCATCATTGTTTATTGATTTTGAGTTATAATGCTGTGAAAACAGCTTTCGTCTAACAAATAACCACAATCAACCTATCAACAACCTGCCAGCCAACCACCCAACAGCCAATTACAACTAACCAACTATCAACCAACAAATCACATTAATTAACAACCAACCACAATTAATAACTAGCCAGCCTTCAAAGAACAACCAACCAGCCAATGGACAACCACAACTAACAAATGAAACACAATCACAACCATATAACCATCCATCCAATTAACCAACCAACCAACCAACCAACCAACCAACCAACCAACCAACCAACCAACCAACCAACCAACCAACCAACCAACCAACCA